CCCGGCCCCACCCGCCCCTACTGGAGGCGCCCAGAACACCAGGCAGCCCCAGCACCTCGGCCGGGCCAGCCCCGGGTCCTCAGGGGTCACAGCCTCCCGAGTCCTGAAAAGCCACGTAGCCTGCGTATGTTTCTGAACTGACGCCTAAAGGTTTCCACCAAGACAGTGACTGACGGTGAAGAATGTCGTTGCTGAGAATTCTCAGCCCCGGCGTCTTTGAATTTCAGCACATCTGTGGAGCGACATCCACTCACAAAACCACCTCCAGGCTCTGGGCAAGAGCAGAAGTTTCACGGCATCCCCTTCGCGGGGAGAGACTGCGCCCACCCAGGCCTGTACGCACATGGTGCATTTTATGTATTTTTTAAAATATGTTTTTATTGATTTTTAGAGAGACAGGAAGGGAGATGGATGGAGAGAGAGAAACATCGATGATGAGAGTCATCAAGTGGCTGCCTCCTGCAGGCCCCCGACTGGGGATCGAGCCCACAACCCGGGCCTGTGCCCTGACCGGGAATCGAACCGTAACATAGGTCGGTGAGCAACCACTGAATCACACTGGCCAGGCACATCATGTATTTTAAAGACTGAACCCGCCCATTGGCTTCTCTGTAACCGGTTGCACTGCCACCGATGGGACCGTGGCGGCCACATTCACTGAAGTCAGGGCGGACAGTTGAGCCCAGACCCCTGCCTGCCACAATGAAAGTCCAAGTTCATTAATAATTTTAAAAATCCTAATCAAGCCCTAGCCAGTTTGGCTGAGCGGTTAGAGCATCAGCCCATGGGTTCGAGTCAGGTCAAGGGCATGTTGTGCCTCCGCTGCAGGTTCAATCCCCAGCCCTGGTCAGGGCGCATGTGGGGGGCAACCAATGGATGTGTCTCTCTCACATAGATGTTTCTCTCTCTGAAAAGCAATGGAAAAAATATCCTCAGGTAATTAAAAAAAACAACAACAACCCCAATCAAGACGATACATTGTGATTACATTGTATCTTGCCTATGGGATCAGCCGAGACGAGCGGGTCTTGGAGCAGCTGTGGGTGACCCTGAGTGTCCATCCTTGGCATTCGCTGTGGTCACTTATGAGAAATGGCCAGGAGGGGAGGGCCGTGGTGGGAAGGCCCTTCCCGGAATTCCATTTGGCACTGACCCTAAAGAATGTGAAAACCTCTCCCACCCTCTGACCCAGCGATCTCGCTCCTGGAGGAAATGACTGGGCGTATACACCCGAGGACGGTTTGTCCCCGGTGCTCGCTGCAGCATCACAAACAGGTCCCGTGGTACATGAACGCTGGGCTCCAAAGACAGGCAGCCTGGCTGTGAGTCCTCCCTCCTGCTCCCCCAGCTGTGTGACCTGGGGCAAGTCACTTAACCTCTCTGAACCCCAGAGTCCTCATTTGTAAAATAGGCATGCTGTCGGAAGAAATCAGAGATGAGGTCTGGGGAACCGATCAGCTGGTGTCCAGCTGGGATCGATATAAATATCGGAGAGCAGAGGTATGGCCGAGTCCACGTGGGTCTCGCATTTAGAGAAATTCAGGCAGGTGTGCAAATGGGTGGTGAGGAGCTATGTGGCGGGGAGCAAGCTCCTCCATCCCTGAAGTGAATGATTCAAGCCACGGATGTGTGTGTACAGTGTGTCTTCACATGTAAAAGGTGGGTGCCCAGGCCAGCTCGCAGGGCTGCGGCCCCGAATGCCGAGGGCAGTCCCGGGACGGTCGGGTGCGTCTGTGTTGGTGGTGGGAGGACATTACGGCACAGAGCAGAGGACGCGAGGGCTTTGTGCGCTGAGGGGAGCGAGCTGGCCGGGCCGGTGTGGTCTTGCCGCCCGGGTCCACCCTGACCTCAGCCTCGGCCTCTCCACCTGGAATAACAGGCCGCGTCATCGGGGAGTCCCTCCCTCCATGACTTCCCGCAGCCCGGCCTGGCGATCCCCGTTCCCGGTGCACCCTGCGTGGGCCAGGCTGCGGAACGGCCTGGACCTGTGCCCTGGCTGGGGTGACGCGCTTCTGTCTGGAAGCCCTCGCTGGGTCTCCCACGAAGGCCCGTTTTTGTTGTTGTTAACACTCAGCCCAAAAATATTTTTTTCCATTGACAGCCCTGCTCTCTGCAGGGAGGTAAATGGTGCTCCCAGCACCGTTAACAGGATTTCTTTAAAACTGCAAACTCCATGGGCTTGGAGACCGTGCCGGATTGATCTGTCCACCCCTTCCCCCAAATGCTATTGTTCAGATATTTTTAGGAAACTAAATGCAAATACACGTGACCCATTCGTGCTCAAGGGAAGTGTGTTAACCTTAGCTCAGGAAGGGGGGGAAGCAGGCGGGAGGTTCGCAGAGGAGGCCGGCTCAGATGGCGGGGCTCCTCATGATGTTTGGTTTGGAGTTGTTTTAATTTCATTTCATCTCTTTGGTATTGCTTGAATTTAGTATATGATTCCCGTTATTTTTTACAATTAGAGAAAATGAAGGCCATTTTCACTTGGAATGAATGGTAATGTTCTCATTCTACTCCAGGTGGGGGGCCAAGGGAGGCCCGGCATGGGCCCTGTGCACCCACACTGTGACGTTGGGACACCAACACCGACCATGTGCCCTGGCCCTGGGCCCCCGTGGCCACTCTGCTCTGGCCCCTGGATCTGAGTCCTCGGACAGGGGTGCAGCTGTGTGAGGACACCCCTTGGGACCTGGACCCTGCCCTCTGACCCTCCCAACTCGAGCGGATCTCTCCACACAGGCATGTTATGCGGACCACACTGAAAACATTACACTATGTGAAAATTCTGGACTCAGGATTCTCCAGGCTCCCAGATCAGACCAGTTGCCCAGAGACACTGGAGCCCCAATGGCAGCGGGAGGCCTGGCTCAGGGGCTGCAGCCCCGATGGCTGCTGGAGGCCTGGCTCAGAATCTGAGGCCTGATGGCAGCTGGAGGCCTGGCTCAGGGGCGACTCGGGCCTAGGGCCAGATGCTCACCTTTGCAGACGAAGCACTTGAGGTGGAAGTACTTGCTCTGCACCCGCAGCACCTCCCCCTTGCACACATTCCCACAGGTGGTGCACAGGATGGCGGAGCTGGGTGGCTTCTCCAGGGTGCTGTGAGCAGCTGGGGGCTCCGACACTGTGGGGGAAAAGGAGCCGTGTTAATCTGGGGCAGAGGGACAGACACAGGGTGAGCAGCCCAGCCATAGTGCGAGGACTCGGGCCCCACACCCACCAGCACAGTCCCGGGGACGGGGGG